CATAAAGTTGAACTGAATAGTGTAATGAACTGCCATATACCGATTCCTCAGTTCCAATAACAACACACAGCCAGTCCTTTTTGATTTATAGTCCCATCCACCTTCCTCCCTATATTATTTTGAAGAATACCGAACATCACGATATTTCACTGTATTTTAGTTAAGTATCTCTAGGACTGTTTAAAAAATTAAACATATTTGTAAATTATACAAATATCAAATTATCATGTTGTATACTGGAAACTGGTGTTATATGCTAATTATATCTCAATAAAAAATTATACATGGCTACACCATTATCACACTTCAAAAGTTAGTAATTCCTTAATGCCACTAAAGAAAGCATTTAAATTTCCAGTTGTATCAAAAATATCCCACTAAGGAGGTACAAGTTACTGCTTTTTATGGCAATTCGAAGAACCCTCTGTGTGGTTATGGCACCAATTGGCTATATACTTAAGTATATGCGTTTCATTTCTTTTTTTTTTTTTTTTTAAGACTTTCGCTTCATGAGTGAAGGGGAGTGGGAGATAGAGTTTCCAGTTATGGAATAGGTAAGTTATGTGAATAAGTCACAGCATAAGGAATATAGTCAATGATACTGTAACAGTGTTGTATGGTGACAGATGGTAGCTACACTTGCGGTGAGGAAAGACGACAGCATGATGCATAAACTTGTCAAGTCACTACGCCATATACCTGAAACTAACGTAACATTGTGTCTACTCAAGTAAAAAAAATTAAATTTAAAGACTTTCATAATTTTGTAAAAATATCTCAGTGACTCCAAAGTCAAATCAATAAAACATGTGTTCAAAAAACTCTGATTTCTAACAGTGTTCCCTCCAACATATTTTCTCCCCCACCCCTTCTTGGTAACCATTTTTAAACAATTAGGGTTAAGCCTTCCGTTTTTAAAAAATATAAGCAGATACTTTTTGTGTATGTATGTGGGTGTTAGCCCTACCCTTAACATGCTACAGCATACTTTCTTCTCCTCCGCTTTTCTCGCTTCAACAACGTAGTGTGAGTGCTGGCTGAGTAAATTCTACGGCTACATAGATTCCACTATAGTTGTCCCAAAGTTTTTTGACCAACCCCTTAATTTCGACTCTTTTCTGTTTCTGCTATTGCAGATAATTTTGAGTTGTGCGTATGTCTTTTCATTTTTCTAAGAGTGTGTTTGAGACAGATTCCTAGAAATTGGATTGCTAGATCAGAGCATAAATGTATATGTAATGCTGCCAGTTATTAAAACTCAGGATTAAAATAGGACTATTTTGCAATGGCCACCAGGAATGTCAGAGAGTGTCTGTTTCCTCACAACGGTGTCTTTATGTTGTCAGATTTGGAATACTGAAAACCTGTAGGTGAGAAATGGTTAACTCCATATACTTAATTTTTTCTTAATTTTCTTTTTTATTATGAGTAAGGTCATTTTTTCATGTAAAAGCCATCTGCATTTTCCCTGTGAACGGTCTACTCATTCCTCAGCCTAGTTTCTATACAGTTGTTGGTCTTTTTCCTTCTTTATTTTAGAAACAAGTCAATCATTTTAGTCAAAATACAGTTTTCAACCCTCTAATCATATAACTTCTCAGACCACATTTTTCTTAAAAAGTGGTGACTAGCACAACAATTCCAAATTCAGTCATAGCAGTAACAAACATGAGCATCAAACCAGTGGGCTTGTCATCCACTATCCCCCTGTCAATTAAAAAACAAATTCTGGGGGCGCCTGGGTGGCTCAGTCGTTAAGCGTCTGCCTTCAGCTCAGGTCATGATCCCAGGGTCCTGGGATCGAGCCCCGCATCGGGCTCCCTGCTCTGCGGGAAGCCTGCTTCTCCCTCTCCCACTCCCCCTGCTTGTGTTTCCTCTCTCGCTGTGTCTCTCTCTGTCAAATAAATAAATAAAATCTTTAAAAAAAAAAAACAAAAACAAATTCTGCACCTTCTATGCCAAGACATTGTTCAGAATTGAAGTTTTTCTCTGCCCATACGCTTGTCCTATCCAACTGACATCCAACTGATGATTCTCATCGTCCTCAACTTCTTGGCTATGTCTGAGAGGACAACTATACACACACCTCCTTAATACTGATTTTGTGTGGCAAATTGTCTAGGTACAAGTCACTTCAACCAAGCTACCTCAATTTCCTTTTGGAAAATGGCAGGGCATTAATAAAAGTCAATACTCAAGTCATTTACCACTTCCCACTCCATTTCCTTGGCTACAAAATAAAGCAGTTGGAGAAAATGATACGTAACGATCTTCTTGACATGTTCAATTATCTGGTCTTACGTCGTTTCCTTTTCAAAACTCTAGGAGACTACCCAAACTGCCTTTAAAATGTAGCTCCAAATAATTTTTCTAAGTTCACTCCCCAATTCTCCTCAAAATATCCTCTACTCATTAGCCCTTCAATATTTCATGCCTTTTTTTATATTCCACTTGTTCTCAGCGTGTGCCCTCTGGGCCAGACGCCTTAGCATTACCTGGGAACTTAGAAATGCAAATTCTTGGGACCATCCCAGATTCATGGACTCCAGAAATTAGGGCAGAGGCCCAGCCACATGTGCCTCACGAGGTCCCCCATCCTGCCCTGTGACTGATGCATGCTCAAGTTTGAGAAAGCAATGACTTAGACTAACCTTTCCCACAATTCTTAGAATTCCCTTGCTAAAAGCTATTAGCTTCTTATTGCACTTCCTAATACCAAAGCTCCAGATATCTTTTCACGTATATGGTCTCCCCAACTAGACTATAAAGGTCTATGAATCAGGTCTTTAACTTATTTTATCAAACAACATGGTTTTAGTCATGTTCCAAAGTTCGCAAAAACGTAACTACATCTAGCTTGATTTGCTTTACTGTTGCTTTGAAATATCTCAATACCTCAATAACCTGTTTCATGAAAGCAGTCTTAATGAACATGTCACAAAACTGAATGTGTTTGCCTCAGCCAGTTCTCTTAAATCTGTTAATTTTAAAGCCTCATACTGGGAAAATGTAGATGAAGCTTATGGTAGGCTCAGTAATGGTCCCCCAACAAGTCCACGTTCTAATCTCTGTGAATAGGTTTTCCTTATGTGACAATAGGGAGTTTGCAGATGTGACTAAGAATTTGAGATATGAAGACTCCTGATGATCCAGGTTGGCCCAGTGATGGGAGCAGAAGGAAATACCATGACCAAAGAGAGAAGACCACATGATAACAGAGCTAGAGATTTGAAGATGCTACACTTTTTAGCTCTGAAGATGGAGGAAGGGGCAGAGCTAACGAATGCAAGGAATGCAGCTCCAAAAGCTGAAAAAGGCATGAAAACATATTCTCCCCTAGTGCATCCAGAAGGAACCAGCTCTGCTGACAGTTGACATTAGTCTAGTAATACTGATTTTGGGCTTCTGGCCTCCAGAACTGTCAGGGAATTAACCTTTGCTGTTTTAAGCCACTAAGCTTGTGGTAATTTGTTGCAGAAGCAACAGGACACTAATACAAAACTTTTGACAAGTTTTTATTGTGAAATATTGGATTTAGAAAAAAGTACAAAATGTCAACAGTCAGATGTGTACAAGTACAGTATTTCAATAGTCTATACATGTGAACAGCTTATCAGGTTCACCAGAGAATGCATATTTAGACCAATACAATCTAAAGAGAACTGCAATATTCACAGGCTATTAATACATAAATAACTTGGGCCAAAATGACCCTCACTGGTAAATGCTAATTAATAGCTGAAAACGGGCTAAAAAGCACAATACGGCACACCATAGTATCTCCTTACAGGTCCACATTTAAAGAATATCAGCTCATTTTGTCAATACACTACAGATCCAGGACTGGGACTCAATTACTAGTTTATACAATTGCAAAAAAATTAAGTTATAAAATAAGGTCATGGAATAAAGAGAGGGCATTTAATTAGGACTAAATACTGTGAAGCCCCTAAAAAGTTTTAGCCTTGGAATTTACAAAGCTTAATTACTGAGACTGATTTTCAATTTTTAATCTGTTTCCTAAAAAAGGGGGAAGGGGCACCTTGGTTTTTAGTAGCAGCTCCAACATGTTATAAGAACCATTACACAGTTTATTTTAAAACCATAATGAGCACTGTGGATTGATAAATGGCTATGAAACCAGAATATAAAACATTATAAATTTTAAAGAAAGGTAATGACTATCTTACGAATTTAGCAAATCCCACAAACATTAAAATCTGTGTTAAGAAGGCATTATCTCTCATTGTTCAGAGTACTAAATTTAGGAAGATTATTGCATGAAGAGCTCATAAAAATAAACTGGTTTAATTTTTCCAAGTCAAGTCTGACTGATTCAATCTTTTGCTATATTACTTCAAAATTACCCTAGATAATGTTCTCAAATTGGACAAAGAATTATTTGATATCAACATATAATGAAAAGCTGCAGGAATCATCTCCTGAAACATCGGTTATGTTAAAAACAATTATTGTAATCATCCTGTGTTCTGAGGAAAGATGATCTTTGACCTGACATTCATAAACACTGTTTGTTTAAAAACTTAAAAACTAATACATTTAATAACAGTTTACTTAAAACAAATTTATCCTTGCCCATAAATTCCTAAGAGAAGGAACTCTCTTCCACTCTCTCCAGTATATCTAGCAATGCCTGATGCTTTACAATTGAACTAATAGTCTGAACTGGCATTTATTAAGGAGATTAATTCCATGAAAGGCTGAAAAACCACTGGATCAGAAAATAATTAGTCAATAACTTTACATAACCTATCCCAACCTACCTTAACCTTTATAGACAATTTTAAAGACTCTGATATAGTTTTCTTATAAATAGTGCCTGTATCTTATAGTAGATTCCAATTTATTCAAAGATACTCATGGATTGATTTAAGTTATTTAAATTTTTCCAGATTTGCTTTAAACTTACAAATCAAATATGGTGTACATAAATATTAACTTAGATAAAAGGCAGATATATGGACCACTGCAGGAAATTATAAATTTTCAAAAGCTTTTATAAAAGAAAAATAAAGCAGAACATGTAACTCAAGAAATATGAACATGAAGCCATATGACATAAAAAATAAAATTACTCTATCAGAAATGATTTAAAATTAAATCTTTGGGGGGTGTATTTTTACATAATTCAATGAATTCAGTGACCAACAGCTTCTCATATCACACAGAAACAAACCACAAAATCATCTAGAGTCTATATGCATCATCAGTTCTTAATGCGATCTCAAACATTTTACTAACAACTTTGATTTCCTTTTGAAATAGGCTTCTGTACATATGCATTTATATACAAACATTTATTAAACATGATTTTAAAACAAACTGTATGTACAAAAGATCAGCATTCCTATAAATAAAAACATTAGGTGGCAAAAAGGCACTTGTAAGTAAAAATCTACAGTAGTTTGTACAAAACAGAACACATTTTACCTTGGATACTGTACAATAAACATTAATTCTTATACCAATAATGAAAATACTAGTTTACTAACTAATGTTAATGATGTAACTTTTAAAAACATATTTACATATACTCTGAAGTTCATTTAATAAAAGCACCATGATTTTCTCCTAAATTCATGTTGATGCAAAGTAAAAACACAATTACCAAAAAAACCAGTGTTTACCATTTTCTTTGTTTAAAAGTTTTTGTATTTCTAAAGTGAAAACTGTTTATCTGAAATCAACATAGTGTAAAACAAAAAACAAAACAAACCGAAAGCCCTGCTGCTCTGACTTCTGAACACCGTCACCTACTCTATTATTGCATGTTGCATTTTATAAAGAGCACGACTCATGCACTCCTTTACAAGTGTTTAATACTATTGCTGGCAAAAAAGTTCCTGGATAGCAAATCATTAAAAAGTAACTTCAAGCCAGTTGAAGTTTTATTTGAACGTTTTACAACTTAAAAAATGCTGTATATCAGTTACAAAAGTGAATAGGAAACACGCCAATTCATCTGGTGTGCAAAAATATTTCTCCACTACACAGAATTTAAGGGCTTCACAGAATTTTTCTCAAATTTACATTTTCAGCAGAAACACTACATGAATAACTACTTTCTCAAGGGGATGTTAGTATGCTTCCACTTTTGTCAAACTTTTTACCCTTTGACAATGCTGCGACCTGTTTGAGTAGTTCTCTGTTTTTGGCCTGTGGGAGACAAAAACATTTAAGATGAAAAATGCTTGAAATATTAAGTCATGTTGAAGAATACTACTTATTTAATGCTGTTCTTTTCACTTGTACAACAAGATTTCATTGAAACACTAAGACCAGATCAAAGAGTTGGTATATTAAGGTTCATCTCTTTAATGCTGGATATTGGAGAAGGAATAGTCTAGATTGGTTTATCAGCCCCTTTTGTAAATGTTGATATAATTTAACTATTGTTCAAAGATACAATCAGTTAGAAAAAAGGCAACTTAGGCAATCCATTTGAGAGGGTCAAATTTTAAATAAGGAAAAAATGTCTGGCTCTTTAACTTAAAAACATAAAATGAAAACTATGAAAATAAATTTTATAATTAATGACTCAAGTAATGATTTGGGAGGAATACTGCCCAACAAACTGTACAAAGTGTTCCATTTGATGTTTACCTATTTATAGAATAAGCAAAAGAGGTCCGTTTTGCAAAAATATTCACACTTTATCACTTTGCCAAAGGGACCCTCTCTCAACTTAATGCTATTCAACTAATTTTTTTGAAGTATCCATCAGAAATGCCCTCTCTGATCTCATTTTTGTTTAATTGCCATAACAGTAATTAGGTACTGGCTTTGATGTAATTTGAACATCTACACATCATCGTTTTCAGATCTGTGAAAGGATGAAATTATTTTTCAAAGACTCCAAATTTCACTTTGCCATTGCTCTGAACTGAATGTGCCCTTCATTCAAATGTTCTACCCGCCAAAGACACTGTCCTTGAGCCAAAGCACTATGACAATCACCAGTGTTTAGTGAAAAGGAATGTGTAAAGAGGGACCTTCAAGTGAATACTCTCATATTTTGACTGCCTTTGTCTCCCTATGTGATCTCTTAACTGTGGAAACACAGGTAATAAGAACCCTCCATATATACAAATACATTAATGATCAAACACTTTGGGAGTTTTTGAGCCAAAATGGGGAGAGTGTTGACAACAGACTAGAATCTGAGTGCTACCCTAAAAGCAACAAAATTTTTCCTCTGGTTTACGTAGGAAAGCCATTTATTTTCCTTCACAAGTCTCAAGATTTTTTATTATCTAGATAATACTTTTTTTTTTAACCTCAGGGCTTCATCTTCTACTCTAATTTTGGCCTTTGTATGGCAAGATAACACCCTGCCTTCTCTGTACACCATCTTAAACCAGTTCCGTGAAACATAACCTTTTCCAAAGCTTTGTATTTCCACTCCCCCACCTTTCTTAAACCAAACTCTCCCCAATTAATACCCATTACCTCCTAAATGCAAATATTCTTAGAACGATTTCATATTTGCAAACCTAACCATTTTTATGTTCGAATGCCTGACAGAATTTCTCTCTATTCAATAGTTGTTAAATAAGGTGGTAATTAAAAGTTTCAATTTCAGGGGCACTTGGATGGCTCAGTTGGTTAAGTGTCTGACTCTTAATTTCAGCTCAGGTCATGATCTCAGGGTCGTGAGATCGAGCCCCATGATGGACTCTGCACTGGGCATGGAGCCTGCTTAAGGTTCTTTCCCTCTCCCTCCGTTCCTCTGCCCTCAGCCCTCTAAAAAAAAAAAAAAAGTTTTAATTTCAAATCCAATTTCAATTTTAAATCTAGAAAAATCACAAAGAATTTAATAGGATTTTGTTTTCCCTTTAAAATTAAACAGCTTGAGAAACTCAGAAGACAAATAAGGAGAATTCCGGGTAGTTAGCAGTAAGTCAAGTGAGTACACTTAATGATCAACTGGTTTATTTCTCAGCTGACCAGTCCTAGTCAGTGTAATAGTTTTAAATTGTTTTCTTTTTATTGTTAGCCACGTTATTTAATTTGTAACTACAATAGATTCTCTTTGCCAAAAACAGAAATCTTAACAGAATTTTTAAAATACAGATTAATGAAGGGCATAAAAAAATGGTATGTTTGCAAATGTGCCTCAAAGAGCTTGCCATCAGATCTCTAAGTTATATTTATCCAAAACCTTTTATATACTGACAATATTCAAATTATCTTTTCTTAGTCATCAATAAGAAGCAAACACAAAAATCAAAGAGTTTGTAATTTTCATATTCTAAATACGAAACACAAGAATTCAAACATTAGGTGTTGAAAGCAGTTTTCCCTTTTAATTTTTTAGCAGCTAATTTTCAATTTGCATTTATATATTCGGTCTCCTAATTGCAGCACTAATAAATCTATTTACTGATAAATTATGTAAGAAAAAACCCTTAAGAAAAATAAACAATTTATCAGTTGTTAACTGCAGGTAAGTCCAAATGTGTCTTATTCTAATTTAGGTACATTAAAAATGTATTTTACAATGCAATACTTAAATATGTATGCATTTAAAATTTTTATCCTAACGTTACTTCTTTATTATGTACCCTGCAAAAAAAATCAAAAAATTTAAAATTCTTAACAAGTTAAGCTAAAAATGTTTAGAAATAGTGGCCTAAAGGAAAGACTATCTGGAGTAACACAGATCCTGCTGTGTAACCTGGAGTCTATTTTCTCATACGTAAGACAGAAACCTCACCACCACCTCAAGAGGAGTTGAAAGAACTAATCAAATATATAAAACACTTAGCCTAACACAGAGGCTGATACACAGAGGCACTCAAACCTTAATCTCCTTTCCCCCTTCATTAACTTCACTCCTAAACAAAAAGTAGATTTTTTATTTGGTATTCTGCTAGGATAACTTAGGTTGTTTGTTTACTTTGGTATTTTGCACAATTTTTTCTTGTGATGCTCCCTGCTTATTTCCCAGGTTTAATAGTTTAAAATGTTTTGAGAACTATTAGAACATAGTAAATTTTCTGCTACAGGGTTGTTACAACAAAAAGGTAAGAAAAATAGTTAATTCTGTTTACTCAACTAAATGGAAAACCCTACTAGTACATGGCTGCTGTAGGGACTACAGTTAAAAGAGAGTACACAACTGTAACAGAATGTTTCTAGCAATTAACACAAAAGATATAGGAAGTGGTCTGATAACAAGGAACAGAAACCTGAGTGACCTGAGGTGGTGGGAACACAAGAGAAAGTACAGTTTAATCTGAGTCACAAGATGTAGGTTTCTATGTCAGTTCTGATTAATTATGTGACCACCATTTCATCTGTAAAGTGGGAACTCAGTTATTATAAAAAGCAAGTAAGACAGCCTATGTAAAATCATGTTAGAAATGTCATACTTCTATCTAAACATTAGTTGCTATTCTATTACATAGAAGTTCAGCTACTGACCAAGAAGAGTTACTAGGCTTAAGATACCAATCAGGCTAAGATGTCAAAGAGAAGGTCCCCTCTGTTTACAACAACAAAATAAAACAACAAACTGCTCTTTTGGACAGCGAGTTGTACTAAGTTTTATCATAAATTTAAGTATTGCTCACAGTTTTTCTGTTACCTCAATTCTGGATTTACTCCAGAGTTTTGGTTACACCACTTTAAATCAGAGATCATCATGCAGAAGATTCTGTTGCCAGGTAATCATTCAGCAGTAATAACTGAATGAGAAAAATAAGAAAATCATAAACCAAATATATACTGGTGGATAATGTCCAAAAACCCAATTATATGGGCAATTTCTCAACAGAAGGCAGATGGACACTTCCATAAATCAACAAATTATTTGAGTGCCTACCATGTGCCAGGTTCTACACAAAGTTTCTCTTTAAAACTCTTTGTAAGACTAATGTTAAGACTAGGGCTGTAACTGAAATTCAGGTTCCTAAATTCATTTTACAATTTCATGCAATTTAAGCTACTTTCAAAGAAGTATGAGGAATACAAACCAAAAGGCAGGACTAGCACATATACCCTGGTTTTACAATGAAAAAAACAAAAACAAAAAAAACCTCAGGGCAGTATTACTCTCTTCCTTTCCAAGCTGCACTCTCCCATGAAGTCTAAACTCTATGTGCTGACATGCATCCTCTTTGCTTTTAAGACTTAAAACTACTAAAGTTTAAAAGCCCTGTTACCCAAAGATTAATTCCTCAGATGTCAGAATGTATAAATCGACAGAACATGTAATTAATTTAATGTGGTCTGATTTCTAAATTTATGAAACTGAGGTGAGAAAAGGCTTAAATAAGGGAGTAATGTCTATCCCTGCTGGATGCTCTCCATCTCCGCATGCCGGACATCAGATACTACCCTCTCTGTCACTATGGTGACTCTTGGCTTCACCATTCAGTTGTTCTGTATATTGAAATCCTCCTGAATATACCTTGCAGTAATCTTGGGAGGCTGGCCTTGGCCTTGATCACTAGAGGCTCCCTGCTGCAGCACACAGAATCCTATTTGGCACCTTAAAAATCACAGTACAAAGGTTAAAGTGCACTCCTTTGCCTTTCATCACTGCACGTAGCATAAATTTCCTCCACTTGAGGCCCCTAAGAATTGGTTTTGTACACCCACCTCCCTTCCCATTATCTGGGCAGAAACACGAAGAATGATTGCACAATATACTAAAGACCTTATTTTCACCTTAGTTTCATGAATCCGATCTTTAATTTTTTGTTTTTCACGCAATGATCAATTGAACATACTCCACTGGTATCCTCCTCTAAAAACCCCATAACGAGTCTAAGCAAAAGTTTTCAGAATTAATATACTGAATCCCCTTATCAAGTGATTTCAAGCAGTAACTTTTAATGGGAGCAGGATTAAGAACTGGTAAAAAGTCAAAATCAGGGGCGCCTGGGTGGCTCGGTCGGTTAAGTGTCTGCCTCCAGCTCAGGTCATGATCTCAGGGTCCTGGGATCCTGTGACAGGCTCCCCACTAAGCAGAGGGTCTGCTTCTCACCCTCCCCTCTGCTCCTGCTCTTGCTCACTCTCTCTCTCAAATGAATAAATAAAAATCTTTAAAAAGTCAAAATTGAAGCTGAAAATGCACAAATACACATAAAATTTAGGGATACCAATACCAGTCTAAGACAATATTATTAACAATTAAGCAAGGTCAGCCCTCCTTGCCTAACAGTTCATATAAATAATGTCATTTACCTGAAGTTGTTCCACAGTTTCTTTGTGAGCTTTTTCCATACTGTTCATCTTTGTTCTCAAATTTGACTCTTGGTACTGAAAGTCTGCCTTTAGTTCAGTTAACTGAGAAACAGATAAACAAGCATATAAATTTATATATGTGCATGTGTAAAAATATATATATGCACACATCATTTTAAACATTCATTATAAATTCACAACTCGTTATAGAAGTGGAAGATGTCAGCAGTTTCCTGAGTTTTAAAACTTATTTAGAATTTGTTTTGTGAAATGAAATTCTATTTTATTATAGTATATTTTAAAGTTAAGATAACATTGAACTGTCAGTAAAACTTTTAAGATGCCTTTTTCTGTTTCAATTTAAAGATGGCTTCACTGGACACAGAGTTTGGCAAGTGGAATGCCAACAGGAAAATTTAATGGCTCATACTGGGGAAAAATGCTTCAATTACAACATACTTCACATTATATATAAACAAAGTAAATGTTAAAAATGGTGTCAGGTTAAAATAATCTTTCAATGACAAAAGAAGAAAATTTCACACTGGACAAGTACAAAAAGGAGTGGTTTTATCAACCATGAGCTATACTGCCTTTTACTTTAAAATTTACATCCAGAATTATGTATCTAATACCACCTAAGGCTTGAGGTAAAATGGAGAACAAAGCACAGAAATACAACATGGAATAAGAAAGTTAATTTAAAATTTTTGCTAACTTAGACAAATGTAAGAAAAAAAAATCAGTGGTTTGAGGAAGCTACATTTTCTTCTTAAATATCAATGACATACATAAAAATACATAATCCTTATGACCTTGAACTAAAAAATAAGTTGGTATTATATAATTTCATTATCAGAACCATGAAGAAGAAAGCTTCTGGTTATTTTTAAATGGTTTCCATTATATATAAACTTTAAAGGTTTGCACGTTCTTTTTTTTTGTATAGATATATAACAGCAAAGAGAGAAAGGAAGTCATGGTGTATTATATTCTTTCTGTCTGAATAAAAGCCCTTGCTTTTGCCAAATTCAAAGAATAACTGAATTCTCTGTTTACTAAATTACAAAGGAATTCCTGTTCTGAAATGTCAATTCACATCAGATCAGCTAAGATAATTATTCTTGTCACTCCACTGTGTGTTGCCTTCAGATTATGAATTTCTGGAAGATAAGGATCATGTCCAATTTATTTATTCATTTTTGTATCCTCATGATCACTAGAGGATACATGGCTGGCTCTAGAAGTCATTGAATAAAGTGAAATAAATTTAAGAAAATATCTTGGTTGCCTTAGATTTACATTATAAGAAAAAAGAGCAAATACGTAGCAAAATATTTTAGGCTCAGAATTATTATTTTCCTTACAACACTGCCTATTTCCATTACCATTATTTTTTTTTTAAAGGAACACTAACAAAAGCAGAAAACTTTCACAAACTGCAGTAACACAGAAGAGTCATGCTATGAAAAAAAAAATCTAATAGAAAAGTCAAAATTCCACAATGCATTACTACTTGGTTTTGGAATTGTTACTTTATAGCAAATTTACTATTTTATTCAACTTTTACCTAGATTACCTAGGTTAATATAGATAAATCTTTGTGCACAGAAATGTCTTTAAAATTTTGTGCATAAAACAAATTTCCATAAAAGTTCATTAATTCAAAAAATTCTGTTAATCAAAAAGAACCATAAAAAGACACTCCTAACTAACCTATTCTTATGTCAATCCTAAATTTCATATACTGAATTTGCTTAAACTAAGATACAAATATATTAAATTTAAATCCACTAACCATCAAGGCACAGGAAAATTTAACACAAAAGTTGTTAAATGCCAAGCTCAGATTCAAGCACCACTTCAGATACTCAGAAATACAGATAATTCATACACATATTTATAATTAAGTCTTATTCATAATTTTAAAAGGAATGTTTTTAATGTTCTCCTATTGCATAAGGCATTTGAAGTAAGTCAAACTTACAGAATAGTCTACAACTATAAACAAGTACAAAAGTTGGTTCTACGCTCAAAGATGACCCAACACCAGTAATAGCAGCTATGAGCATCTATACATGGCAGGAGCTGTAGTAAGTACTTTATATTTCCATTTAATCCTAACAACCATCTCCTGAGATGGTATTAATACTCTCATTTTTAAAAAACTGAGGACCAAAGATGTGAAACCATTCTGCTCAAGTTCACACAGAAAGTGTTGGAACTTTTCACTAAATTGACAATATATTTGATACTCCTAATCTAACTGACAAAGTCCTCAGAAGTACACTTAGTTTCTACAAAATGATCTTAGACACCTACTGCTAATCACCACACAGGACATTTCCATAGCACTACTTTTCACCAGTTATTTGATCTGGATTGAAATACACGATTGGTATGTCAAGGACTACACTCAACTACTTTCTCAAATCACAAGAATTTACATAATATTCCATTTACATGTCATTTCCAAATTAAGACATTAGGCTTACTTTTAAGCTACAGGTTACTGGAAGCTAATGTTCAAAACTTATTATAATTCTAATTAACTCTCAGTTAATTCTTAGAACTAAAATTCTGAAAGACCTATTTCAGCCATAATTCATAAAATTATGAGTAAGACTTGATTATAAATATGTGTATGAATTATCTCTATCTCTGAATATCCATAGTGGTGCTTGAATTCACCATTTTCACCTATCTTCTTTAGACGGCTTATGTTCCAATTTGGTTTTTGTAATGTGTCTTGTAAGAATCATGCACAACATTACCAAATTATTAAAGTCTAATAAAACTTGCATTTTCAAGCAGAACTCAAGATGTAAATCTTACCAGGCTTCAGTGAACCATGTTCTTACCTTTTTATCTTTTTCTAAAATGGTCTGGTCTCTCTGCTGTAAGAGACGTTTAAGTGACATCACTTCTTCTTTCAGTTGACTTATAAGGACAAAATTGTCTGTTCCCCCACTATCTGCTGACTGATTTATAGAGCTACTAAAAAGAAAAAAGTAAAACACAGTTAAATGAAGTAGAAGGAAAATTAGCAGGTGTTCAAATTGCATAAATTAGACAATTCCACAAACATCCTTAAGGCTAATGCAAAAAAATATGTACCTGACAGAAATGGATGCAACTGGCAAATTACCTTACTAATGGCACACATTACATACACCTGCAGAAATATAATTCAGTATTAGCTTTTAGGGGGTCAATACTTCTAGTGTAAAGCAATAGGCAGCCAATTTGTACAGTAACATCAGCAAACTTTTGGCTAATGAACTAAAAACAAACTCACGCTCATAATACTTTAAATTTAAATACATTTTCCAAGCAGGTCAATTTAAAACATCACAATTAGATTTTTAGATCTGTGTTTCACTGAAGAATAATTAAGATCAAGAGAATGTTCTATTCAGATTTGTTCTCCTTTTTTCAAAACCCAATGTATTCCCCAAATAGAAAAACAGTTCAGTGCCACTTGCTTATTGCCAAAATTAAGTTAAAAATTTTAACTAATTATGGTTACTTTTCTAGGTGACTCAAAAAAGTCAATGAAGAAGATACATGTTTCTATTCTTTTACCTAGTAATAACTGGCAATCAACTGTAACTGTTCAACTAACTTGAATTTTCATAGCGCTAAAGGAATTCATTTTTACCTATCTCCATTAGATGGCTTAGATTCCAATTTGGGCTTTTTCTTTGGAGTTTCATTCTGAATTGCTGCAGAGGATTTATGGCTGAAACCAAACATTAATAAGAATAATTAGAGTAAAAAGGGCAGAGGCAGCAAGTGATGTTATTCTTCTTCCCCTAAAATATTACCGAATATCATTGATCTTTTAAAAGCATAAGTAACAAAGTTAAAGGGATGTCACGTTAAAAAAAAATATGCTTCAAAATGCTTCAGAAAATATGTTAACATATTTACCTCTGTTTCCACAGTCCCTGCTCTTGTTCTGGACTCAGATTGCTGATTCTGAAAAATATATAAATGACATCTAACAACAACATTTATTTAATACATCTATGCTTAACAACATTCTTCCTAATGGACTCAAATTACGTATGTTTAGAATCTTCTGTTCAGAGAATGCATGTTCAATTAAGTTTTTGAACTAAAGCTAATCACATTCTATTAAGTTCGATTCTAATAACTGGTAGCCAATTGCTACTAAGTTCTCTAACAAAGGTACAGTGACAGGGATTAAATTCTTTTTTTAATCATTTTCCAAAAGTCAATTTAATATCATACTAAAAGTTGGGGTATATAAGCATGAAACCCACCATAAGGCTTTATAATTTATAAAGTATGACAATCATCATACTTAGGGTGCCCTTACTATTTCAGACAAAAAATGTTCTATCTTTAAAGTTAAGGCCTTCCTAATAATCCTATCTGGAGATTCCTCCTTTAGAGCAACTCAAGTTGCTCAGAATAGTGTGTCAAGTTCAACCAGGAAATATCTTAATTTGTTTCATTCCTAGTTTTCCTAAGAACCCTCTCCAAAGTCCCTAGATGTTTCTTCAGTCAGTACTGTGGAACAGACATACCGAAAATACTGGGAAATTTCATATTAAGAACTGATTTTACTTTTATTTATAATTAAATGCTGTATTACTAATTCTTTTCCATTATGCCATAACACTAATAATGACTTTATAATTCACTATGAATCAAGTTTTCTTGCAGTTGCATATCAGCCAATCCTGCATTAACCCCTAGTTTATTGACTCAACATGTATAGAGCATACCAGACGCCACATATTTATACAATGTAAGATGTTAAAAAAACCTAGGCTGTGTGACCTTTTGCCAGTTACTTAAAATTCCTGAGCCTTAGGTGCTCGCTTCGGCAGCACATATACTAAAATTCCTGAGCCTTAGTTCCCTCATCTGTGAAATGGGTATAATTTATGCCTTATAGGGATATCAGACTTAAATGAGTTTATATAAAAACTCTTCATACATTACTAGTGTATATACAATAAATAAAAACATGTACATATATTTGAGTATAAAATTTACTATTGTAGCTGTATAAGTTTTTCGAGCAAGAAAAAAAAAATCAGACCATGTTCTTAAAAATCAGCTGTAAATAAATACTAAGTTGGGGAAAAATGCTGTAATTCCATAAACCTGAGTTATTATTTATTTGTGGCCATAAATGGCAACACTACTGAGGAATTCAGTTGCCCTTTCTTTTTACAAATTTCATCATAAGAATTAGCAAACCAGGGCGCCTGGGTGGCTCAGTTGGTTAAGCGACTGCCTTCGGCTCAGGTCATGATCCTGGAGTCCCGGGATCGAGTCCCGCATCGGGCTCCCTGCTCGGCAGGGAGTCTGCTTCTCCCTCTGACCCTCCTCCCTCTCATGCTCTCTGTCTCTCATTCTCTCTGTCTCAAATAAATAAATAAAATCTTTAAAAAAAAAAAAAAAAAATTAGCAAATCATATAATCACACATGAATTAACAGCACTATCCAGATCTCAAAGTAAGAACAATCCCATTAGTAATGGCTTAACAAAAACACCTGGAATTCACATCCTTGCTTTCTGAGGTGGCCATTCCTGGATCCCGATTGACCTGCTTTTGCTCTCCTCTATCCCCACCCATCACTACATATCACAATATGTACATCCTCATAACTGTTCTAACCTACTAAACTTACAATAGAACCTCACAAACTGGTTGCCTACTCATTAAACGGTCTATACCCATCAAATACAAAACAGTATTTCTATTTCTTTTTTTTTTTTTTTAAAGATTTTATTTATTTGACAGAGAGAGACACAGCGAGAGAGGGAACACAAGCAGGGGGAGTGGGAGAGGGAGAAGCAGGCTCCCCGCAGAGCAGGGAGCCCGATGCGGGACTCGATCCCAGGACTCTGGGATCATGACCTGAGCTGAAGGCAGTCGCTTAACCAACTGAGCCACCCAGGCGCCCCAGTATTTCTATTTCTTAAGCAATAAAAAGGAAAAAAACTTAAAGGTCAATACCATCCTTATTCCTTTTACTTTTGACACCTGTTTTTCTTTCTAAAGATTAAGTTACTGTCATAGAATTTGATCTTTATAAACATACCCTGTGTCCTATCACACACTAAGAAAAATTTATCTATAAAGGACAGGGGAAAGGGACACTTCAGTTGAGGTTCAGGAGTAGGTCTGTTATAGTTACTTTGTCACAGTTTTTCTTAAAAAGGCAAAATCAAGAAAGATTTATGTTCCTTTGTTCCTTGGGATATTCTGACAGAGGCACCACAAGATTTCTTCAAAAGAGACAGATTAGAAGTCACAATGCACTCCACCACTGTGACATGCAGAAAGTACAACACCAGGGTAAGGCAAGTGAAAAAATTGCTAAGTAAACATCAGTACCTCGATAAAACTTCATAATATGTGCTTGCCTACGATTTAGAATCAAATTTTGTTAATTAGTACTACATTATATTCTAAAAATGTGTTCTTAAATGTTGTAGGCATCAATTTTCTATAAATGAAATTATGTTTTATCTACTTAGAACTTTAAAGACTCATAGAGAAATTCAGGAGAAAAACAAGTTCTTCTGAAAACTGGTTATCATGTCCCTGTTTTGTCCATTTTGTGTTTAATTTGTGCTTTAATATTCTTGATTTTTCCATGAAGACTAAAACCACAGTTCAAAAAACTTTATGCTACACACATATTACCACTATATAACTTTCTCCTCCCAAGGCACTTTAAAAATCAAGTAGTTGTTTATATTTGAATAGAATTCCTGCCTATGTGTTTTTAAAAAAGCAGCAAAGTACTGCTAATTTAAAAGATTATTTTCACACTTTTGGAAACTTCAAGATTTAGAATGCTTCTATCATGATCACAAATGATAATCTCACAATCTGTTCTACAAAAACACTGAATGTACATATCCTAGTCACTGATAAATGTAACTGCATAGGACTATAATTTGTATTTATAACTGTAAATACAATTTTTACACGTAAAATCCTAACAATTATTTAAACAAAAAAAGAATATTGAGGACTCTGATAACATAAACCTATGAAGTATTAACGCTGGTGTACCTGTATTTTTACTTCATATGATCAAAATTTTATGTAATTCCCTAAATGTACTATTCTTTATTTTTATGGTAAACAGCTTAACACACTCCAGGTATATAATTTTATACAGGCTTACCTCAAAGTTGGGTTCTAGACCATGCAATAAATACTGCAATAAAGCAAGTCAAATACATTTTTTGTTTCCCAGTGCACCTAACTTATGTGTATACCATACTATGGTCTATTAAGTGTGCAAGAGCATTACATACCTTAAAAAAGTAATGAAAAAATTGCTTAAAAATGCTAATGTCATCTGACCTTTCAGCAAGTCATGAATCACTGATCACAGATCACCATAACAGATTTAATAAGGAAAAAGTCTGAAATACTGTGAGAATCCAAAATGTGACACAGAAACATGAGTAAATGCTGTTGGAAATGGTGCCTACAGACTTGCTCAACGCGGGGTTACCCCAACCCCTCAATTTGTAAAAAAATGCAGTATCTGTGAAGCATAATAAAGCAAAAATGTGATAAAACAAGGTGTTCTATATACTGAATAAAGTAGGGAAAAGGCCCTAAACACTCAAGAAGCTTACCATGTACAACAGAAACTAGACTTGCACAAAAGTAGTATTTGCAAAAAGTTAAACAGCAATACTTGGCATTAAATTGCCAAGAGGATTTTAGAAAACCTGCTTTCAAAGTACTTACTTGTGGTGACTACTGCTGTGACGATGGTGATGGTGATGATGGTGGTGGTGATGTTTTGAATGATGCTGGTCTTTCTCGGTAAGAGATGAAGAAGATGAGTTTGAATGTGAAGATCCCAGGCTCTTCCTTTGTTCTTTTGTCTTCTGTAAAACTCTCTTGTATGATAAAGTACAGAGCCAGCATAACAACTTTCCATCAACCTTTTTAAAGAAAATATTTGTATTAAATTAAATGTACCTATAAACTGAGTTTAAGTGAAAAATAAACTATTCAACTTCTAGCGTAGGCGCACACACACGTGCGCTCTCTCACACACACATGCACACATACACAGATCGTTGCAAAATGGTAATAAAATTAGACTTTTATGAAACCTGGGAAAATGCTCATTTGGTATGTCATAAAATTGGTGAGGATGATCTGCCATTAGTTTTGAGGCATTTTTTAATTTGGAGAGAAAAGTTTGTTTTCTTATTACTGGGAAATAAGCATAAATTGACATACTTCAAAGAATCTTACTAAGCACCAGCCTGAATTCTTAAGTCACTGTGCAATTACTAAAATCACAAAGTAATTCCCACTACAGTGAAAACTGTTAGTTTATAGAAACAAGGAGACCTTGAATGACATATACATTTGATTCTCATTATTGGCAGGTTTCCCATTTGCAAATTCACCACCTACTTGCTAAAATTTATCTATAACCCCCAAATCAACTTGCAGTGCTTTCATAATCATTCACGAACACGCACACAGTAGCAAAAAATTTCTGTAGCCGGAGAGCAAACAATCCCTGCAGAAGTTTAACAAGGTGACACTCCGCAGTCGTCTTCTTTCCACTCTTACACCACAAACAAGTGTCCTTTTCACAGTCTACTTAGTGCCATGTTTTCTGCATCTATGCTTTCTATTGATGATTCCACTGCTTATAATGGTCCCCAAGTGTAGTGCTGAAGTGATGTATAGTGTTCTTTAGCGCAAGAAGGCTGTGATATGCCTTATGTAAAAAATACGTATCTCGGATAAGTTCCGTCAGGCATATAGTGCTGTCTGCCATGACTTCAATGTGATCAAACAACAATTTATATTAAGATGTCTCTGATCAAAAGGAATGAGATCTTGCCATTTGCAACGACATGGATGAACTGGAGGATATTATGCTGAGCGAAATAAGTCAAGCAGAGAAAGACATGTATCATATGACCTCACTGATATGAGGAATTCTTAATCTCAGGAAACAAACTGAGGGTTGCTGGAGTGGGGGGTGGGGTGGGA